AAAAAAACAGCATCAAAAATTTCATTCTTACGATTCCGTTGAAAGGATTTTTAAATATTTTTATGCAGATTTTTTAAGCTTAATCTAATTTGTCATCTGAAGGGACTTTTTTCAAAAAGTTCTTTAAGAAACTATTTTTATTCATAAAAAGCTTCATTTTTGGAGGTATTTTCAAATCGGTCCAGCTAGCTTAAATCTTAATATTTTTCCGAAATATTTTTGGTGGACGTCTTAAAATATAATAAATTTTGTAATCCCGGCGGAAAAACCGCAACTTTTTTTGGAGATGCAGTCTAATGAACATATGTATGGATATGGAGACATGGGAAATTTGCGTAAACAAAGAATAGAGGCTGGTTCACATACAACTTTGCCGTTGAATTTCAAAGCAGCCGTCCACATAGCCAAATTTGCCAACGCTAAGAGCAGACAAACACACATACAAAGCAGAAAGATCGCTGCGTCGGTCGCCAGCTGTTGCAAATAAATAAAATAATATGACATGTTTTTTCCTTTTAATCAAATGAGCGCAAGAAATATAATTTTTCATGTAATTATTGATATGAAATATTAATTTACCTCTCGTTAATATGTTAATTTAGTGGCCAAAGTAGTCTCTGCCAAGCTTCATTGTAGAACGCATACTTTTAACGTGCGTTCTATCAAACCAACGCCAACTACAAAGTCAATGCGAAAGTTCTATCTGGACCAGCCTTAATTATCAAATACTGTTTAACACCCCAAATAGTAGTTTGTATTATACTACATACATATATAAGTATGGGGACTAAACCAGGAATATTCATTTGAAAATGCTAATGTCCTACTCATTTAAGGAATGAAAGACAAAATAATGATTTTTATAAATATTATATTCTCATGAATGTAAGAATACAAAGACAAATCATTTATCAGAAGCATTGCCCCTTACACATTGAAAAAAAAAGTAATAAAAGCTCTCAAAGACGCAAAATCGCTACAGCGAAGAAAGGGTTTGAAAAACCGCATAAATTCAAATCCGCATAACAAATAACCGCATAAAAAGAGACGTCAGTGTTTAAGTTGAAATTTTATAGGAAATTATTGAACATTAAAAAAATTATACCTACATACATAGATATGTATGCACATATGTATGTGCCTACCTGGTAGATAAAACTGGTCAAAATAACACGCATCTATTCTTCTGTGCATGAGAATATATACATAAATAAATATATACATATGTGTATACATGTATGTATGTATATACATATCTACATGCGTGCATACATCCTTTACTCGAAATTCTTAGTTGATGCAATTTTTATCCCATACATTTTTGCTGACCAAACAACCCGTTTACTCGCCTCATTTGCCTCGCTCGTTTACTCGCCCCGCTCGTCTACTGCTGCAAATGAGTGCCTCGCTCGCAACGACGCCCTTGCGAGGGCAGAGCTAATGAGGTGCTCGTTTGCGTGCTGCTCTACTCTTGCGCTGCCCTCGTTTGCTGACTCGCTCGCTGGCTGCTCACCGCGTGCGCTCGTACTAAACAAGCAAACTCAGCAAGCTCAGAGAACCCTGGTTCCTGTAAGCGCGCACATGAAGCAATCATAAATAGTATATGTACATTTATTAGTATGCAGACTTATTAAACAAACGCTACGATAAAGCGAATTACGGCTAGTAATGGGTGTCATCTACCAACAGCATGGCAAACACCACCAGCCAGACGTCCCGGTTTTCCCGGACATGTCCCGGTTTTAGACTATTTGTCCCGGTGTCCCGGTCCAACCTTAAAATGTCCCGGATTTCGTTTAAATATCCCGGTTTTGGATTTGATGGCACAAATTTTGAATAAAAATGACTACACTGAGAGAAAAAACGTGTTGTAATATTAAGACAAATTTTATGAATTTACTGGGGGAAATAACGCATAGTAAACATGAATATTTTTTATTTGATTATCGTTTTAAAATGTTCGTATTTAAAAACAATAATCAAATAAAAAATATTCATGTTTACTATGCGTTATTTCCCCCAGTAAATTCA